TGCCGGGGAAGGAGGGGCAATCTCCTCCTGTACCAGTCAGATCTGATTTGACAGTACACGCACACAAAAATAAAAAAAAAAAAATAAAAAAAAAAAAAAAAAAGAATGAAGCAGTGCTATAGGTATTAAAAGATTAAACTCAGAATTTAAAAACTAGAAGTTCAGAAATGTATAATATACAGACATTTTTAAAAAATATACACATACCTATATTTGTATATACAAAAGATACTGAAGTGTTAACTGTAAAAAATTACAGCAGTATCTACAACCAGGAGAGGATAAAAAGATGAATGGAACCTTCTAAGAATCAAATCCCTATGCACATCCAAAAACTTCTCCGACAGGGCAAAAAGGAAAACCATAAAGCGGGAAAAAATATTTGGTAATAACATGTCTAATAAGGGACTTACTCAAGCACCACAATAAAATTAAGATGACAACCTAAATGCAAAATGGGCACAGGAGATGAATAGACATGTCACTAAAGAAGACAATGAGATGGTGAACAAACACATGAAGAAATGTTCAAAACCCCTACATCTGAGAGAGATGCAAATCAAAACAACTATATCATCTCACTCCAGTAACAATAGCAAAATTCAACAGAGTAGCAAAAAAACAAATGCTGGCGAGGTTGTGGAAAAAATGGAATTCTAATTTACTATGGGTAGGAGTATAAAATGGTACAACCACTGTGGAAGGCAGTATGGCACTTTCTCAAAAAGCTGGAAATAAAAATACCATTTGACCCAGCAATTCCACTACTGGGAATACATCATAAAGAAATCAGCACCCAAGCAGATAGATGCATGTTGTTGTTGTTATGTGCCTCATAGCGACCCTATGTACAACAGCCCTAAACTCTGCTCTGTCCTGTGCCAATCGCACTGTCTCTGACACTCCCATCCCGATTATCCCAGTCACTGAATCAATCCACCTCATAGAGGACCTTCCTCTCCTGCGCCGTCCCTCCACCCTCCCAAGCATGATGTACTTCTCCAAGGACCGGTCTCTCCTCACAACATGTCCAAAGTATGTTAGACGGAGCCTCAGAATCCTTGCCTCCAAGGAGCCACCCGGTTTAACCCTTTCCAGGACAAATCTGTTTGTTTTCCTAGCAGTCCATGGTATTCTCAATACTCTTCTCCAGCACCACAGCTCAAAGGCATCAATTCTCCTTCTATCCTCCTTGGTCATTGTCCAACTCTCTGATGCCTAACAAGTGATTGCGAATATCATGGGCTGTATCCAATGCACCTTAGTCTCCAGAGAGACACCATTGTTCTTCAGTACTTTGGAGAGGTCCTTAACAGCAGATTTTACCATGGCAATGTGCCTTTTAATTTCCTGGCTACTGGTGCCAAGAGTGTTGACTGTGGAGCCAAGGAAACTAAAGCTGTGTACAATCTCAATCTCTTCACCATCCATCCTGATGCTGCCAATTGGTCCAGTGGTGAGAATCTTTGTCTTCTTGACATTGAGCCTCAATCCATATTGGAGGCTGCAGTCCTTGACCCTCTGCAGCAGGTGCTTCAGGTCTTCTTCAGTTTCAGCAAGCAGGGTTGTGTCATCTGCATAATGCAGATTGCTCATAGATTGTCCACCAATCTTGACCCCACATTTCTCCTCATAGAGCCCAGCCTCCCGGATAATCTGTTCTGCATATAGGTTGAAAAGGTATGGAGATAGGATGCATCCCTGGCGTACGCCTTTCCCAATTTTGAACCATGCAGTGTTCCCTTGCTCTGTTCTGACGACTGCCTCCTGGTCCAAGTACCTATGGTTATTGCTTCTTTGTTCACAATAGTAAAGAGTTTGAAACAACCCAAGTGCCCATCAACAAACAAATGGATAGAGAAGCTGTAGTATAGTCTCACAATGGAATACTACGCAGCATTGAAAAACAAGGAACTCATGAAATATTATACAAAATAGGTGACTCTGGAGGACATTATGTTGCATGAAATAGTTCAATCACAAAAGACAAACACTGCATAATGCTGCTGTCAAAAAACAGGAATAACATCAGGTTTGGGGGAAACTAAGAAAAGAGAAGATAAATAATGTACACTGCATTGAAACAAGTGAGAGAGAGAGAACTGTTTAAAAGGGATATATGACTAGGTATTATTTGCATGGCAAGAGTCCAGAATAAGAGCTGCATAGTAAAATAGACTTGGGGGTTGTATAACAATGAAAGAATATTTTTTCTTCTCAAAGAGAAAAGCAAACTGGGGGGAGGGAGGAGTGGGCAGGAAGGAAAATGTGAAACAATGAATGAATGGAAATCCAAGTTCTTTATACTCTTTCATTAAAATCTCAATTAAAAAATTACAGCACAAAACTACTATATCATCTCACCCTAATAAGAACAACAATATTTAACAGAACAGCAAACATCAAATGCTGGTGACGTTGTGGAGAAACAAACTCTTATGCACTGTTGACGGGAGTGTAAAATGTTGCAACCACTTTGGAAGGCACTTTCTCAAAAAGTTGCAAATAGAAATACCATTTGACCCAGCAATTCCACTACTGGGAATATACCCTAGAGAAACCATAACAGCCACCCAAGCAGATATATGCACATCCATATTTATTGCGACTTTGTTCACAATAACAAAGAATTGGAAACAACCCAACTGCCCATCAACAAATAAATGGATAAAGCAGCTCTGGTATAGTCACACATGGAATACTATACTGCATTGAAAAACAAGGAACTCATGAAATATTATTCAAAATGGATGACCCTGGAGGGCATTATGCTGAGTGAAATATCTCAGTCACAAAAGGACAAATATTGCCTAGTGCCACTGTTGTAAAATGAGACTGACATGGGAGTTGAGGGGAGACTGAGTAAGAGGGGATAAATAATGTATACTGCAAAAGGGATATATGATTAGGTATTATTGTCATGACAGGAGTCCAGAATGAAGGGGGTGCATAGTGGAGTGGACTTGGGGGGAGAGATTATATAACAATAAAAGACTTTTTTTTTTAACTTTTCAAAGAGAAGAACAAATTGGGGGGGAGAGGTGGGCAAGGAGAAAAGTGCAACAATGAATGAATGGAAATCCAAAGTCTCTGTAAACTTTCATTATAATTTAAAAAAAAAATACTGCAGTTATCTGTAAAGAGGGAAGTAGATGACTTGGGGATGTAACGAAAGGGGAAACATTTTCAACAGATCCCCTTTTGTGCTTCCTGAACTTTATACAAGGTTCTGTCTTAATATTCAAAAGTTAAATAAACTTAGCTCATTCAAGCTTACCTTTATGAAGGTTTCTGAGCAACCAAGTGAATAGGGAAATAAAACAAATATAACAACTTTTTCTTCCACTAAGTCAGTGTTTTAAGCTGCATTCTCTAGTAGAAACAAAATCAGTGAATGAGATATAATACACACACACACACACACACACACACACACACACATAAAAGAGAGTGGGGGAAATTTATCTCAAGGAAATGGCTTGCAGTAGTGAGCAAGTACTAAATCTGTGGGTCAAGCATTAGGCCTATGAATCCCAAGAAGCAGAGGTCAGATGATAATATGCTTGATGCAGTATATAGAGCAAATGAGGGAGAATTTGCCAGAATATCTGATTCAAACCACATTTCCAGATACATTCTTACAACTGGTTGGCTGGCTGATAACATCAGATCATATAACAAAGGACAATTTTATCACTGAATAGCTTCCAAATTATATCATTGCATAATTATCTACTATATCAACACCCAGCTACCAAAAAAAAAAAAAATTAGAATCATGGCCCAGCCAAGTTACATACATGGTGACCATTACAGCCACGTTCAAACTTTTTTGTTGCTGTGTCTTTAATGGAAATAGTAGTTACTCGGGCCTGTCTTTGATTATTTTTGTTCAGACATTCCTCTAGGTCCTATAGCCCTGGTGTACAAGTTGCCGTACAGCAGTAACTTGTGGTTGCTGTGAGGCTGAACACTCTGACACTGATGTGCCAAATACGTTAATGGCTGGTTACCCAATGCGGACAGAGTGGGGTGGAGCTCCCGGATTAAAACAAGCTTGGAAGGAGTGGCATCCACTTCTGTAATAGCTTGCCTCCGGAAACACTATGAACCTGGAGAGAGGATGAGAGACACCCAAGTGTTGAGGACTCTCCTTCATAGGGTCACTATGAGTCGCCTGCGACTTGATGGCACTTAACAACAACAACAACAATGGAAATGACAAATGGAAAAAAGATGTCTATATTCTCCTCATCACCCAAGGAGAGCTGATCAAGTCTAGAAACAATCCAGCATGGTGGAACATAAGAGGTTAGATCTACCCCTCAGGGCCTAGGGCAGGACAGAGGTCAGATTTGAATGGCTTGGGTACCCTCAGTCAGGAATTACTCACCCGGTCATAGGTGTCCCCCTCCAGCTCTCCCCACTTCCTGCCATCCCATGAGGTAACTCGAACTCGATGTCTATCCCTGATATCTTGAGGAACATAGCTGCGAAGGACCTTCTGTAGTCTGCCTATTCGAGAAGTGGAGATATCGTTGGCAGCGAGATTGCCTGTAGGAATAAAAAACTTCAGCACTATGACCCAACAAAACAGTACATCAAGAATAGCACAGAGGGATATAGTCAGACCAATTCCCAGGCATTAAGCAATCAATGCCAAACCTCGGGACAGGGGCAGGGCGGAGGGAAGACATTTATTATGTACACTGTATAATCCTAGTTGCCCTATAAGCAGAGGATGCAAAGGCAAATACCCACAGGAGCCAGAAAGATTATGTTAAATAAAACAGACTAGGCAAGACCACGTCTTCCTAAAGAAATATGTTTGTTCTCTTTCACTTTTCTTAAAACATGTGATTTTCTTCATATTTGGTAGGTATCTTTGGTTATTTACCCAAAATTTACTCTCCTTAAGCAGAGTTTGGAAGAGGCCATGACACTAGAGACATTATAGTCAATGTTAGCTAGATCTTGGCTAAAAGTAGAGAGTACAAGAGGAATGTCTGTATGTGTTTCATTGACTATTCAAAGGCATTTGTGTGGATTACAACAAATTGTGGCTAACTTTGAGAAAAACGGGAATCCCAGAACACATACTTGTACTTATGTGAAACCTACACTTGGACCATGAAACAGTCATCAAAACAGAGCAAGGAAACACTGCATGGTTTAAAAATCAGAAAATGTATATGTCAGGGATGCGTCCTGTCTCCATACCTTTTCAATCTATATGCGGAACAGTTCATTTGGAAGGCTAAACTTTATGAGGAGAAGCACAGCATCAGGATTGGGAGAAGATTCATCAGCTACTTGTGCTATATAGATGACACAGCCCTGCTTGCTGAAACTGAGGACCTGAAACGTTTGCTGCAAAAGGTCAAAGATTATAGCCTTTTAATATGGATTGAAACTCAACATCAAGAAAACAAAGATTCTCAGCACTGGACCAAATGGCAGCATCATGATAGATGGAGAAGAAATTGCAATTGTTAACAGATATTGAGATAGGTTCCACAATCAACACTCTTGAAGCCAGGAAATCCAAAGACAAATTGCATTAAAAGATGCTGTCAGGGACTGAAGATTTTCTCCAGAGTATTGAAGAGCAACAATGTCAGTCTAGAAACTAAAGTATGCCTGCCTGGCCCAGGCCAAGGTCTTCACAATGACTTGTTATGCATCAGAGAGCTGGACAATGACTAATGATAAAAGAAGAATTGATGCCTTTGAGTTATGGTGCTGGAGAAGAGTATTTAATGTATCATGAGAATAAACAGGTGTGTCCTGGAGAGGGTGAAATCAAGCTGCTCCTTGGAGGCAAGGATTTTGAAGCTCCATCCCACATACTTCAGGCATGTGGTCAGAAGGGACCAGTCCTTATAGAACGACATCATGCTTAGAAAGGTGGAGGGACAGCACAGGAGAGATGGAACGATACAGTAACTGGGATAAAGAAGGCAGGTTTGTCAGAAACAGTGAGATTGGCTCAGGATAGGACAGGGTTCAGAGCTATTGTATTTAGGGTTGCTATGAATTGAAAGTGACTCCATGGCACATAACAACACTTGATTTAATTGTGAGGGGTCAAAGTCTCTTAAACAGTATTTCCCATTCTCCTTTTACAGCAGTAAGGTATGACTAACTGCTGATCAGTGAGTCACAGGCCTAAGTATTATATAGGATTTCTAGGTTAATGTTTAAAAGTAATTAACACAATTAGGAGGTGTGTCTCTTTCATCTAGTGGCTGTAGGTCCTTGAGTCGTCTTAGATATAATTCTGAGGATGGAAGCTAACAACAAAATAAGCTTTTAAAATATGCTTTCAAAAAACATGGCCCTAAGCCTCTATCAGAATTTTCTATTAGCTGGGAATGCCTGTGTCCCAGCTTCTACTCTTTATCAGCCTGGAAATGCCTATATCAACTTCTCTTAAACTTTTTTTTACATGTAAACCACTGTTACTTGGGTTTCTCTCATATGTATTTTATTCTAATATAATCATACCTTACCATCTTTAATTTTCCCTTTTTTTGACAGACATGTGCTCAAGAAGTATTCCATTTTGCTCTTAATTCCACATCAAAAAGTGTATCACGCCTTTCTACGAAGATGGCGCCGAAAGCGAAGAAGGAAGCCCCTGCCCCTCCCAAAACTGAAGCCAAAGCAAAGGCATTGAAGGCCAAGAAGGCAGTCCTGAAGGGC